TTTCTCTCTCTATTTCTTTACTTCTTTCTCTTTCAGTCCTTCTTTTTCTCTTTCCCTCCCTCCCTCTTTTTCTCTCTTAATCTCTCTCTCTCTTTATTTCTCTCTCTCTCTATTTTTTTTTACTTATTTCTCTTTCGGTCCTTCTTTTTCTCTTTCCCTCCCTCCCTCTTTCTCTCTCTCTCTCTCTTTATTTCTCTCTCTCTCTATTTTTTTACTTCTTTCTCTTTCAGTCCTTCTCTCTCCCTCTCTCTCCCCCTCCCTCTTTATTTCTCTCTTTCTTACTATTTCTATTTCTTTCTATTTCTTTACTTCTTTCTCTTTCAGTTCTTCTCTTTCTCTCTTACTATTTCTCTCTATTTCTTTCCTTCTTTCTCTTTCAGTCCTTCTCTCTCCCTCTCTCTCCCCTCCCTCTCTTTATTTCTCTCTTTTTACTATTTCTCTTTCTCTCTTTCTCTTTCTTTACTTCTTTCTCTTTCAGTCCTTCTCTCTCTCTCTCTCTCTCTCTCCTCCCTCTCTTTCTCTCTTACTATTTCTCTCCCTCCCTATTTCTTTACTTTTTTCTCGTTCAGTCCTTCTCTGTCTCTCCCCATCCCTCCCTCTTTTTTTCTCTTTATCTCTCTCTCTATTTCTCTCTCTCTTTCTATTTCTTTACTTCTTTCTCTTTCAGTCCTTCTCTGTCTCCCCCTCCCTCTTTTTCTTTCTTTATCTCTCTCTCTCTCTCTCTTTCTCTCTCTCTCTATCTCTTTACTTTCTCTTTCAGAGTCCTTCTCTCTCTCCCTCCCTCTTTCGTTCTCTCTTTCTCTCTTACTATTTCTCTCTCTCTCTATTTTTTTTACTTCTTTCTCTTTCAGTCCTTGTGTGTGTGTGTGTGTGTGTGTGTCTGTCTGTCTGTCTGTCTGTCTCTCCTCTCCTCTCCTCTCCTCTCTCCCCCCTCCCTCCCTGCCTCCTTCTTTCTCACTTTTTAAGAACTTAAAATCCTGGCTCACCATCAAAAACTCTTGTGACAATTCTGTATACGGTGCACCTATGGTTTAAGACAAATTGGGGATGACAATTGAACGGAGGGTGGGGCGGGGCGGGTGCTTTCAAAATGAACCACTGTCAGAGAGGAAAAGGTTTTTTTTTCCCCCCAAAAAAAAGAAAGAAAGAAAAAAAGAAATTCAAAGCATAATAGCTGGAGGCAAGAGAGCTCCATGTGTGGGCTTTGATCTAGAGGATGAATTAGCTAATAACTGTGTGTGCTGGCATCAAGTCCTGTAACAATTTTGATCGTTTTCCTTCTTGTTCTCGGTTTCGTTTCTCTCTCTGTGTGTGTCTCTCTCCTTCCATTTCTAATTCTATCCTATCCTATTCATTTCTGATTCTCTTCTCTTCTCTTCTCTTCTCTTCTCTTCTCTTCTCTTCTCTT